TGATCTCCCTGTCTTGCTTGTGGGCAGCTTTAAGGATGGATGGAGACTGATTTGGCCACGCAGTCCTGGGATGGCTTTGGGAATGGAAACCAAGTTTCCAAATTCCAGGCCAGTTCTCTTTTGCCGAGGTAACACCATTCCCTTTCCTCCCTGTCCTTCATCCCTGAAGGATTCATCAAACTGCTGACACCAACAGACATGGAAATGCGTGTTGAAAGCTGGCCAAGGTCATTTGAAGTAGATGTGTCATCAAGAAAGGGTTTCATAGGCAACTTTGTTCATGTCAGATCTGCTCTCCGTGTGAGGTTTCACAGTTCTTTGTTTCTAATATAGTTTCTTCATGCCAATCACTGCTGCTTTGGTTAGGTCAACACATACTGCCAATAAGGTTTTGCATTTCAAACTGCTTTTGCTATTTTTGAAGGGGAAGAGGGTATCTCAAGCTCTTGAGCAGGAGGTTGTCCCAGATGACCCTGTCCCTAGGTCCATTCCAACCTGACTTTTCCCTATGACCCCTGAGCCAGGAGAAAGGGTTTGAGCTCTGTTTTCTTCCCTCAGAAACTCACATGTAGACTTTGGGGAAATTTCCTCATAAGCCCTATTTGTTATGTTTGGGACTATGATGCAAAATAGGGCTAGATGGGCCGCTGGCAGGAGTTTTGTTTTTGACTGCAGTGGTGTCTGGCGTTCCCCTGGTGTTTATGTCTCCGAAGTCTGACTCAAGCCCTGCAAAAGCCAAGGAAAAAAATCCCGGTAGCTTAATAGGTATAAAGTTGCTACTCTCCAAAGGATAAGCTTCTGGTAGCCTGTTGTTTCATAAATATATCTACCTTCTGATCTACTGGGGGACGGTCACCAAACAAATGGGGCTTTTATGATGGTTGCTCAAGCACGCACAAATGCGCGTCAGCGTGCTGGTGCTGCTCAGATGGCCCACTCTGCATCACCATCACGGCATATTTTTGGCACCTACTATGAACCTGTTGCACCTTTTTCGCCTGCTAAATACTGTTTTCTTTTCTTGGGCAGAAGCAATAACTGGCTAAGGAATAATTTCCTCCATTTGCTATCCTCTTCTCTTTATTTTTTACCACTTTGAGCAAATAACTTCTCCTCTTAAAGCTTAAAGACACAGATAAGATATTTCACCAGGCCACCTGTTAGGAAAACTCAACAATCTTCTGGCCATCTAATTCCCTTTTTGGGGCATTTAGCCCAGCAAAAAAACAAATGGGAGAGGTTGTGGTGGTTTTGCCTATGGGATGGCAATTCTCCCTACAGATGTGGCAGTAGTACGTGGAGTTTTTAAGGCAAGGAAATGTTTCTGATAATTCAGAAGTTGAGTAACAAGGATCCCCTTTGCAAATATGGCTGTTTGTCTTCAAAGGAATACTTTTGGAGAACTATTTTGTGTTAAGTCACTCAATATTACTGATCCTCATTAGATTAGAAAAGCTTTCCCTCCAGGAAAAGTATGCAAGTGTTGCTATTTCTAATGTTAGAAATGATTGAAACTGAGGGGTTTGAAGTGGTAATTTTTCCTATAGCTGAAATTTAAAAGACAGCTTTTTTCTTTCCCACGTCTGTTCTCGTTATTTGTTGGAATTCATGGTGTGATTTACATCCACCGTGAGTAAAATGGAAAGGCTGACTCCTGGTCAGGCCACCACCTCTCGCCTCCTTCCGGCACTGCCAGCCTTTACCAAACACCGTCACTGCCACCTTCAGCCTGTTTTGCAGCTAACAGCCGAGCTGTCATGGATGATCTGGACAAAGCACACCACAAATTCTTTCTCATCATGTTGTACGCCCTGGGAAAACTCGGAATAGGCACAGGAAACCACGCGAACAGGCACGCAGTCACCATAGTCTCCAGCCAGATTTGACTTCAACCGGTCTCTGTTTTGAATGGACACGTGTTACCTGCCCACTACCCTGTGTGTCATTGAGCTCTTTGAGATAAGAGGACGGGAACGCTCCTGCTCTGTTCCGAGTCACCCACCACTCTTAAGTACTTTGCTCACCCACTCTTAAACCAATGTGTAGACCAGCGTTTAGCGGCATGGGTTTTCCCCAGGTTCGCTGAGCAAACTGATGAGGGAGCAGAGTGAGACAACCAAAGGGAGGTGGGAGAGAGACCAAGCTAGACCAATAATTGGAAAAAATCAGGATTGCTCACTTGTCTTCAGGGGAGCTAGCGTGACTCGGTAGCAAGGGGCTGCATGTTGCAGGTTATCATGTTTACCATGTTAGTGGTGTGTGTTTCCACCATGACCTAGGAAAAAAGAATAAAAGGGAAATCTAGGTGGTACATGCCCATGTTTTGTTGGAGGGAAGAAAAAATGCCCTTTTTTATTTATTCGTAGTTGACATATTGCTGAATACAAGTTGAGGTAACTCTTACCTGAAAGTCGAGTGGGCTCAGGTGCATATTTTAGGCCCCCTCTCATAGATTATTTTAGCAGGTTCTTGGCATTTTTCCTTCCTCAGCTAAAGGAGTGCCAGCCTCGCCTTCCAGAGGGGAAGATGAACGTGCTTGGTGACCATGCTAATCCCTGCAGGTGCCGGCCCCGCGTGCTGCATGGGAGCTCTGCCTCCCAACCGGCAGCAGAGCCACCCCGGCCCCGCTAACCTTGGCTAGAGAGATGGGCTGAGCTCTGTCTCCTGACCCAGAGCGATTATTAAATGGCTAAAAATCAATCTCAAACCAGCAAACACAGGCTTGAGGGCCTTGATGCGTGCAGCAAAAGCTTGGAAGGTTTCCTCATGCGTTTGCAAGCGGGATTTCCCTCAGCGCGTCGCGGCGTGGCTAAGGGAACAGTGGCATCTGGTGTTCACTCGGCTTTCTTACACCCAAAGCTTCCGAGGCGGGTGCTCGTGGGGTTGCCTGGGGCTGCAGCAGGGTTCAGTTACCCGTGTGCAGGTGTCTTGTGCAGACTAATGCACCTATCCAAGACTGCAGACAGGATATGGGGCCTACGGGACCCCAGAGCGCTCTTGGCTAGAGGTTCAGATGGACCCCGGCAACGTGTCGAGTGACAGAAACTCAAACCTCCTCTTCACATCTTGTGTGATCACCCTCTTGGGAGTGAATATCCCCTACCCAGGCCCATGAGAGTGATGCTTGCACCACCAGGGAACCCCTGACCTAGATGCTGCTTAAGACATTTATATATTTTATGAAAGTCTTATTCTATCTTTCTTGGTGGTGATGCATTTCTTGCCTAATGAGAAGGTCCCAGTCTCTAAGCTAATTATTGTCTTCGTTTTGGTAACTGGAATTCAGTCTTCCACCAGTCTTCCACCTCAGATATACAGAGGACAGCTGCACCACACCATAGCCCTTCTGCTGCCCCACAAGGTTTAGGAACTTGTGGGCTGGTTGTGCATAGCACATGGCACTATAAAGTGTAAGCTGTCACACATTGCATAAGTTTTGAGGCTTTAATGCCATTTTTCCATAAGGGTTGGATTTTGTGTGGTGTTGCATCGTTTACTCCTAGGTCTGCAGGGTCTCTGTTCGGCAGCAGGCTGTTCGTGTAAATGTTTAGCACAGGAACCATCATGCGCTAGTGTTTATTTTATATAAAAATACAGAGGTTTTCCAAGGTGCAGCTGAAATTCTACTAAAAAAAAAACTATGGGAATGTTGCCCTAGTTCAGTTCCCATCCTTTATGAAGACTTCAGTCTCAGGCTGACATGCTATGTTAGCGTGAGGAAAATGGGTCACAGAAATGTGTGCTCTACCACCCCCCAACCCTTTCGTTATCAGCAGGCAGGGTACCCGGTGCTGCCTGCGATCGTTTCCACCGAACCATTCCCCACCAGGGTCGCAGGGAGAGCAAGAAACCTTCACCTTGCTTTCATAACGAGTTTTCTTTATTAAATTTGGTTTTCATTCATGTCTAGAGTTGACAAAAACATTTTCCAGGAAGACTGACAAACAAACAACTAATAAATATGTATATAACATGTGTGTTTCAAACACTGTAGGTATAAACAAATAAATGCTCTATTTTGGGAGGTCTGGTGAAACCAGCACTTTCAGCTGGCCAATTAGCAGCAAATGTGTTAACCAGTGTTGAACATCCACTTACTCTTAAATTATCAAATCCAGTGTTTTAAAATTATTGCTCATTAGCAGACAAAAAACTAACAAGATACAAAGGGTGTTCATTAAAAATCTTAAATCCCAGCAGTGCCTGTAAACTTCAGTACATGCAGCTTTGTAGTGTTTTCTTTTTTGTAGAAATGCAATTAAGACTGAAACTTTCAGAAATGAATTAAGGTGTTGGGTGTCCAATCTGGGATGTTACAGGAGCCAAATTACCAGCAGGCCCGACCTAGCCCCCTTCCTGAAATGCAGCTTCAGGCGGTGAACGCCGCAGTGCTGGTGATGAGCGTAGGGCTCCCTGGTTCGCGTCGGGGCGCTGATGGTCGGAGCTCCACGGAGATTTCTGCCCCTGACAGCACCCCAATAGCTAAGGGTATTTTCTGCCCTTCTGGTGCAGCACTGCCAGCAACACGGGGCACAGCACCCACCTTTAAGAGCCCTGCACCACTTTGATGCCTGGAGCTACCTCCTCTCCCAGCTGTAAACCCATTTTCTGGGTCCGCCGGGAGAATGGGAGCTGGGGCTGTCTCCACCCGAGCGGCAGCGGTCAGCCGGAGATAAGGAAGATGACCGGTGCATGGAGGAATGTCACAAAACCGTAGCCGAGGGAGGAATGTTCCTCCTTCCTCCTTGCATGGTCCTGGCTATGAAGGTCAAGGGAGGGAATGGTACCAGGGAAAGCTGGAAATGCAGATCTCAAAGTGGCGCTTGCAACTAGAGATTTCCTGGCTATTGGTAGCAGTGCTTTGGCAGTGGATTCCCCCTTGCCTAGACAGCGGTTCAACTTCTCATCAGGACTACATCAGTTCTTGCTCCTTGCCACGGCTGCTTCCTTGCCAGCGTCCACCGGGACCCCCTTTCCGCGCCGTTTCGCTCTTGGGGACGGTTGCGCTCAGCTCCAGCCGGCCTGCTCGCTTCTCTGAAGGGAAACAAGGAATGGCTCTACTGTACTAACCGCTTGGCAGAGGAGCCAGATGCCAGGAGGGAAGGAACCCACCATCCATGCTGCGTTTGCGAGGCTATCTCCTCAGGGCATCACAGAGATGTGTTGTGTTGCCTTCTGACTGTCATCCGCTCTTTCCCCACTGGGTCTCTTGGGATACACCACGCTGGCCATCCTGAAGAACTCATCTGCGGCATCAAGGGCTATCAGCCGGTCCTGCCAAAGCCAAGGAGTTTCACAGTCACTATAACGCTTATGTCAGTGGCATCTCCCTATCCCACATCCTTCCTCCAAGGTGCCTCTCTTAACAGTTCTCAGGCAACATCAGGCATGAGCTCTTACCCTTTCCCACTTCAGTCATCCAGCTGCAAGAGGACCCTGCAATGCCCAGGTGCAGAGCAACTTCGAGGGCTGGATTGACAGCACTACAGCACGGATGTTTCCAAAAAAGCTCAATAAGTGAGTTATAAGTGCAACCTCTGTCACGGAGGCCAACATCCATGGGAGCTTGCTGCGATGCAGCTCACCTCCTCTGGCCATCTTGACCCTGCTTGTGGAGGTGGGGGTGACAGCAGCCTCCGAGTTACTCACCACCACAAAGAGGTACCGCTCAGAAAGCTCCCAGCTGGTTGGGAAGATGTTTGTCTCTTCAGAGAGCTTTAGCAGGATCTCCCGGGCTTTGCCCATGTTCTGAGAATCACTGATAATGCTGAGCTTCGTCACCGATAACAGGGAGTCTGCTTCCTTCTGGAAACCTAGGGCAGAAATGGCCACCTTTGAGTCCTGCATGTTCTTTTGACCTTCCTTGTTCTACCTCTACCTTGTGCTGCTTTTTTGCCTCCTTGTTAACACAAATTAGTGTTTCCCTGAGGCAGTCTCATGTCTACACTTGCTGTAGGGATGAGCTTGCTTGTGGGGATGGGAGAAAAAGCCCTAAAAAAATCATATGTGTTTGTTGCTAGTTTTCCAGTGAAAGGATACTAACACTCACCACAGACCTCCCTGCACGTCAGTACAGCTCCTATGTGCTCCTGATGTACTTACAGCAAGTACTTTGAGGGTAGGCTGGGGGTCCTGTGGACTCTAGGGGTTAGAGCTATGTCAGCAGGTCTCTGATAATAGTAATAAAAAGCCTACTGCAGTAATACTGTGTGGATAATTGCTCCTGAGGCGTTCAGTATTTCCCATAGGAAGGGTATCCCAGGAAGGAAAGGGAGAGATATATATCAAGGGGATGATCAGGAGGTCTTTAAGGATGTCACGTCATTGCTGTCACGTTTGGCCCGAAGAGGTAATGTTAGCATCTTGACAAAGATGAAGGCTGATCCCCAATTCTAAATTTATAATGTTCCTCCTCTCTTGACCCCGGAGCGGCAGACAGGGTGGGAATATTGGAGATACAAATCACATCTGCTCCTATTGATAACGTCCTTGAGCATCCTCGAGCCAGGCAAGGACACGTGAGTCACGTGCGTCCTCCTCTCCCTAGCCACTGTCCATGTCCGTCCGCAGCGTCACCCACACGAGCTGCTTGGCCAGCGGGCTGGTGCCACGCGTGGTCACCCGGCTCCTGCCTCTCTATGGCATAGCCTGCAGCTGGGCCTTGCTGTGGGAGAGAAAACAGCAGGCCTGGGAGGGCCCCTGTTGAGCAACATCTTCTGTGAGGGAGTGCGTCTGATTTGCTTAGGCCCAAACAGAGTGGGTGGGTTGCCTCGGATCTGCTGGCACAAGGAAGAAAGATGTCTATCTGTGTTCAGATCTGAAAGGAATATTCATTCTTCCCTGCTTATCTTGGTTATGAAAACACCAGGTGAATTCCCAGGTATCAATCTTCCCTTTCCTTTATCCTCTGCAAGTCTGGTTTTGTGCAACTGCCTGAATCCTCAGCGATCATGAGACCCCTCATTTGGTACCACCACCTATGCCCGTCCTGCAACATTTTGCGTTCCACAAAGAAGGCATCTTTTTGTCTGCTGGCTTACCTAAGTCTTCCAAAATGTGTTTCCACCTGCTTCTCACTTCTTTTCGGGTTTGTCGTAAGGTATAAATATCGTAATTGAGCTTTTGCCATTCCTGCAAAGCAAAAGGATAAAAGATGGTCAGTTGTCTGTGTGTGGTGGAGTCTCCATTGCATTTCTAGGAATGTGGCGTTTTAGAAACAGGGCAAAATCCAAAGTGATGATGTTGGCATTGAGGGATCAGCGTGAAGGTTGATGGCCAAACTTGCATTACTTCTGGAAGACAGAGCACTGGCAAATGTAGAGTATTTTAGCATAATGTTTCCTCTCTTTACCTCTTTATCTTCCCGGCATACACAAAACAAGTAACCTCCTTGGTAGCTTCACAGACTTTTAGTTACTTTAAAGTCAGATTGTGGAATTTGGCTTGTGAGAATTTAGCTGATACCTTGTGGCCAAAGTGGTCTCCTTAGTAGGGGCGGGGAGAATACAGCACTGCACCTCTGCTCATGGCTGGGAATTATAACCCTGCCCTCAGCCGGAGGACAGCATAAGCTTCCAAATGTACCCTTAAATGTACACACAAATGTACAGTCCCGCTCTTTCAGCCCGAAACTTGTATGAGATAAACAAACCTTGACATCCAGGTTAGCATCAAAAACTGAGGTTGGGAAGACACCTTATTTGACCTTTGCAGCTTGGGAAACCAGCCATATATCAATAATTGTCTCCTGACAACTCTTGCAACACCTTGTTTGCATGCACTTGCACTGAAAATGGCATGATGCTGGCCCTTGGGAAACTAGAGATTTGAAAAAAGAAAAACTGTCGCTATATCTGGGACAGACACATGGTGGATTCTCTAAACTGCTTGGCCCTCTGTTAGGCGTTTAAGTAGAACAGAGAAGTTTTCCAAAGCACTTGAGAACAACTTGACTTTTTTAAAGACTGGGGAAAAGGCTTTTAGTGGCAGAGAAGAGGTATGCAGCTGCAGAGTTGAGGTTTCAGTTGGAAGCATTTGCCATAATAACTATTCTTAGTGACTACCTGTTCACGTAGCTAAGGCCTCGGTTAACTACACAGTACGTGTAGTTGGGCTTGACCTCAAGCTTTGTATGTGCATAATGTGACACTGTCTAAAGGGGAAGGTTTTCAGGTTGCTTATTAAAGTTCTGGCAATGCAAGTAAACGTGGCTGTTTATACAGGTACACTTTCCTGTGGGAACATCCATACTCTGGAATAAAAGGGCTTTTCCTAGTTTAGTTTAATAAGTTTACACATGTAAAAAGATGCTGTGGTGGAAGTGTCCAGACAGCAGGTAGTGCTGGTTTTGAGCACACAGAAATTATTTGAGTGGTGTTACAATCTTAACGTGTGTCACTTCCGAGCAGGAGATTACAGAAACGAATGCTCGTAGGATAAATAGATGTTTATCTGTGTCATCCCACTGGTGTTTTGCTACCCGACACGTTGGGTTCCAGCTGCGAGGAGCACCCACGGGTGCAGGCTGTGCTTTGGAAACACAGCTGCTCTCTGGCACGCGGGGCCTCGGAGAGTTTGTTTGCACCAGCCGGGGTCCTGTGTGAGATCCACACCATGGACCCGAGGACACGGAGATTTTCCAATGTTGCCCCTGAGCGCAGCCCACGCTTCTGAGTCAGCCGAGCTGTACGTGGCCTGCGCAGCGATGGCTACAGCGGCTCCTCGGAGATCAGGATTTGGAGGAAGGCCGTCCGCAGGGCTGCGATCCTCGTGAGCGCAGGTCAGGGGCGCGGGGGGATTTGGGAGCGCGGGCGGCTTGCTCGGAGCCGCTGGGCGGCCCGGCGCGGGGGCAGCCAGCCCCGTGCTCCTCAGCTCGTGCCGGTGCTCACGGGAGCGGTGAGCTGCTCTGCCACCTGCATCGCTGCTCGTGAGGGGCTAGCGCCGTGGATCAAAACACTGTTTCCTTCCTTACCCAGGAAAAGGGAGGAGGCAGGAACAGCCTCTTCTCTCGTGACACGGACTCATGGTCAGGGAGGGGAGTCCTCTCCCTGAGAAGGATTCCTTTCTTCTTCTCTAATTGGAGAAAGCTCTGTGGGAAGTTTCCCCTCAGCCTTGAAAGTTTTCAGCTTTTGGCAGGGCTCCCTTGGACGCGTCTCAGCCTCCTCGTGACCCCACAGCCTTAAGCAGAAAGGAGAGAGCAAACCAGTCCGGGCACACTGGTGGGAAAACGAGCTGCGTGCCTCTGTCCTGCTGCGTAGATAAGCCACGGGACACGTGCTTTGAGGGACACGATCGACACGTGCCTCCGTGGCGCTGACTTAGCACGCTGAGGTGGCGGCGAGGACCTCATGGCACCCAGAAGGAAGCCCTCATTCTTCTCTCTCCTGAATGTGGTTCTGGAGCAGGGACAGCCTGGACCAGGAGGAGGAGGCCACGTTGTGATGGTCATTGAGGAGCAACCAGAGACGATGTTGCAAACTCTGGGCGAAGATGAGCCAGTTCTGTTTTAAGGGACGTGCCACATTCCCCAGCAGCCTCAGAAACCACCTAGATGATATCAAGTTCCTACGAGGCCAGGAAGTGCTGAAGTGACTTCCAGAGAAGATATTTATCAGGGAAACCTCAAACTCAGCAGTGCATCCACTGCAAATGCCAAGAGTGCAGGAATCCTTGACATTAAATATAAGCCAGACTGGCACAGAGCTGAAAGCCAGGGAAGAAGGTGCCAACGGGACCAGGCAAGCACTGTCCAACTTTTCCTCCCTGCTCATATGGAAATTTCCTAATTAGGAGTAGTTTTATTTGCGTTGCCAAAGCAATCCTCTCTCCAAGCCATTTCCTTTATTCCCTTGGAGGTAATTTGTATCACCGTTCTATTCTCTAGTTATTTAGGAAAAAGGGTGAACACACAGTTACTGGGGACAAGCTGCAAAAACACCGGTCCAGCTTGGTAGCACTTCACATCAGGGCTGCGCCTCACGTGGCTCAGGTGAAGTGGCCCAGTTTGAAGCAGCTGAGCAAATACAAACACTTAGATCAATCTCCCATAAAACACTTTCCTCCCGCTAGCAGGGTTCGTGCTGAGGCGGCACCTTGGTTGTATCTATGCAGGAACTCAAACAACGACTTGTTTTCCTCGAGCCCCTCTGTTCACCTCCAGAAGAGTGAGGGGTTTTACCTTCCACCACCGCCAGGTTTGGCAACACTGCAGGGTGGAAGGCGTCCTGCAGGGAAAGCAGTATTTTTACATATTTGAAATATTGACCAAGTCTTTAAGAGGTTGGAGCACTCCTTTGATCTCCAAAGATTGCATCGGTTTTACCCATGTCCTTAAGCCAGACCTTCAGCTACAGCTTTTCTGGTTCTCTCTCCCACACTCCTCTCTTCCTCATGCTTTTTCTCCTCTAGGTGCGTCCAGGCACGTTGCCCTCATTGCCCGATGGCAGAAAAAGGCAGGAGCTGTGAGCTGCTCAGCCCTCACTTAGGACATTGCCTCCAAAATGTGTGCTCCCCACATGCCTGCACGTCTGTTCACATTTCTGAGCTCTCTTTTGCCCTGTCTCTTGTGCTGGTGAGGTCTGTCATAGCTGCAGTTTGTCCTTTGTAGGCACCCCTGGCGTGTTAGGAAGAGGAAAGGTGTTTTTTAGAGGTAAACCAGATTTTGTCCCTCTTTTCTCCTCAGTCCATTCACACCCGGCTCTTTTCTGTGGCTCCTCAGGAGCACAGGCCTGGCAAGGGCAGTGCCATTCGCCAGGCCCCTTGGAATGGGGTCCCACATGGACCCACTGGCCTGCACACATATCCCACCTCTCAGCATCGCCTCAGGGCCACAGCAGCACCCAGCTACAGAGCTGGGCACCTCCCGCTGGAGATTTGTCTTAGCCTAAACATCCCCGGCTTGGGGAGGCTCCAGGGAATTTCATCTTAGCGTGCCTGCCGCGCGGTGGCTTTTGCAATCGCAAGGTGCTCCAGCCGGCTCCTCCAAGCCCGGCGTCGTGATGAGAAGTCACAGGGAGCAAACGGCACCGAGCAGGACGAGCCAGTGGGCGGGAAAGGGGCCCACGCGCGCGATGCCTGGGCGAGCTCGCTGCCCCGGTTCAGCCGGAGGCAGGGCAGCTTGCGTCGCCCGACCCGCAGCCCGGCCTGCGTCACCCGCTGAAAACGTCTGCAGATCCCCAGGCCCGCAGAGGGACGTCCCTCGGCCAGCCCGCCCGGAGCACAGGCTGAGGAGCCTCCTCGGCATCGAGCTTGTGTAGCTGGTGTAGACGAGCTGCGGCAGCTCTTCCAGGGAAACGATGGAGGCGATCCTCCTCGATCCGCAGACCTGCCTCCCAGCCCCGCTGCGGGTATAAACAGACCCCTCCAAATGTGATTACAGGTTATATCCTGGTATCGCGTGAAGGAAGCAGCTAGTTCACAGCAATCAAACTGTAAGACCTTACTCATGCAAAAAAAAAGGTGGCGGAAAACATTTTTTTTCATGCATTCATCAGTGCTGTTATTCAAAATTGCTGGCAATTGTCAAAAAGGTTTGGTTCTACATGAGTTATTCTGCTGTAAAGCCTGGTGGGTGCTGGGCACTCTGCTTTCCCCACAAGCCAGACAGGGTCCCCACAGCATCGTGGCCCACTGCTTCTGCTCTGTGGCTTGCAGCACCTCATCTCCACTAGCTTCATCATAGTTAAGAATAAATAAGTACAGGCACGCAGAAGCGGGTGAGCCAGATTAAGGAAAAGCCAGTACCGGAAAGCAGCAAAGGTGGGGCCGTACGGATGCCAAAGGCGTGAGCGAGGATTACCTGCTCTGGGTCACCCTTGCAAAATCCCATCCTAGAGAAGCACGATGATGATGGGGGCAATGCTGAAGGATATAATAAGGGCACAGCCCTTCCATATGGTTTTCCCTTCCATTTTATTTCAAGCAAGGAAGAAAAGGACCCAAGGTTTTGTAAGATGCGTGTACACACATAAAGAGCAACCCCATCCTCCGTGCCCAGCACGGGGGCATCCCCGCTCACGCTCCTCGGGGGAGCGGGAACCGAGCAGCTCCCCAAAGCCGATTACGGCTTTTGCTGCTGCTGTTTTGCAATTAGATTTTTTCCTCTCTCAGGGCTGATCTCTCATTAGATGAAGCAGTTTGGCCTAGTTTTAAAATGCTCGCTGCAATAAGAGCAGATCTCTGCACCCAAACACAGCAGATTTCCCAGCTAAATGTTTCCCTGTTCTGCAGCACATTGTGTGGGAAGGGCTTGTGTTATTCCCTTCTGAAGTGATGCAAGGCCCTGCATGGGGTCGCAGGAGGCACAGGTGGGTCCCTGTCTGGGGCTGAGCTGTTAACTGCATTGCAAGAAGAGATGGGCTATCTGCCCTCGCGTTCTTACGAATACCCATCACTTTTATGAGTGTTGCAGGTCAAGGGCACAATGGGCCCTACCCCAAGAGGGAGGAAGGCGCCTTCAGTTCGGGTTGCTACAGTGAGAAAGGCCATGGGCTGTCACAAAAACGTGGTTACAGAGCTCTCTATTGTAAGTGGCAGCATTAAGCCTACACCCACCAAAAAACAAACAAAAAGCATTAAATGGGAATTCTGGTCATCTGTGTACACAAAGAATCGCATTATCTCCTTTTGACTTTTTTAAAAAATGTTAATTTTTATCCCAAGTGTGCCTTTGGAGCTTACGTCTCCTGGTGAAAACTGAGCTGTTCTTTAAGGGTGACCCATGGCAGGGGGAATTTTTAATCTGAGCCTTTCAGCTAAAGCAGGACCACTCTCAAATGCTGCTGAAGTCAAACATGAAGCTTCCAGGTTTTATAGAAAACGTTTTGGGTGGGGGAGAGGTGTCAGTATTTGCCTCAGCCTGGCGCTAATCCGTGGCTGTGGGAATCTCCTTTGTGTGGCCAGGCTTTGCAGCCAGGCCCCAACACCCCCTTACGTAACAGCGTCAACTTCCCCTCCATGCCGCTGGCCCTGTAATTACCCCACAAGCAATTAGAGAAGTATTAGACTTGACGCATCGTAAGAGCGGCGGCTCAGCACGAGAGGAGAAGGCCGAGGAGCGGAACTGGCCGAGGACCACAGACTTTTCCCGCTCTCCTTTATCCCATCCCCTGTTTGCTACAGCAGCTCTCTCCTCACCTCCGAGTCCGTGTCCAGCTGGTTCCTCACCACGATCATGTTGTAGAGGATGCGGTCGTCGTCCGCCTCGGTGTGCGTCACGTCGTGGGGGGTGCTCCACAGGTTCTGCTCCTCGTCCCGCGCCAGCGTGGCCCCGAACGACGCGTACGGGTTGTTGTTGCTGCAGAGAAGAGGGCAAACGTGAGGCAGGGACAGACGGCGGACGGCGCCCTCCCGTCGCACGCTCCCACCCCTGCCTTCCACATGGAGCTTTCGGGCACTGAAGGGTGGGTGTGTGCAGAGCATCTCCTGTGCCTCTTGGCCAAAGCAGCAGTTTCTACCCATCTTCTTCTCAGAGCCGTTGCAGATGAACAGTATTTCATTGTGGGCAAAGGAAGACAATTCCACTTGAACCCCAGAGAAGACTTTGTCACTGGCAGGGCGGTAGAACCCTGGAGCAGGTTGTCCAGAGGGGTTGTGGAGGCTCTGTCCTTGGAGATATCCAAAACCCAACTGGACTTGGTCCTGGGCAGCCTGCTGTAGGTGACTCTGCTTGAGCAGGGCTGGGACGAGAAGATCTCCAGAGGTCCCTCCAGCCTCAGCAATCTTCTCCTCGGCATTAGTCTAACATTCATTAGACATTCAATAAACCAAGAAACCTGAGCAACAGGTAACAGGGGGAAAGATCCTCTGTTACGACCTCTCATTCAGGACGAGCGAGGGATGCGACGTGGAGGGCGCGGGCTCAGCCGCACCAGGGCCAGCATGGGTTCGCTCAGGCCGTTCCCCCGGCCCTGCCTCTCGCTGCTACGAGCGCAAACAAGCAGGGCAAGACGGTGCAGTGGCACGAGGCGGGTACCCCGTGCCTGCCCTCAGCGGGAGCTCCTGCTCGCCCATCGCCAGCGCTTGGCATCGCTGTGCGAGCCCTGCTTGGCAGGGATGCCGAGACGCCTCCGCGCCTGCCAGCCGGCGCTCTTTGAAATGTCACGTTCGTTGGGCCGGAGCCGCTCGGCGCGGGGGAAACGAGGCGAACGCTCCTGACGTCAACATTTAGGGAGTTAAACCCCGCGGGAAGCTTGGCAGCCAAGGAAGCCAAAGTCGGCCAGCAGCCCTGAACGCCAAGCGCGATGTTCATTCGCAACAACGCAGCACGGCCAGACAAGCCCGCGCTTGCGAGATGCCCGCGCGGCCGCAAAGCCCCAAAGCCTCCCGGCCCGCAACAGGCTCATGGCTGGGGAGCAGCTTAGCTCTGGCGACGCGCTTGGGCAATGCCCAGCCGTGGGATGGGCTTTCCTGCTGCAAGCCAGCATTAATTGGATTGGCGTTTAAAAGGTTGCTAAAGAAAGGTCCCCTGCGCGGCGTGAGAGGGGCCGCTGCTTCCTAAGGCAATAAAACAATAAGCGGCTCCGACCTTTCAGCACCTGCACTGAGCCCTTGTTAGGTTAATGCCAATTTCCTGGGCTGCAGCCCCCTCTTCCCGGTCGGGATTATCCTGTTATTATTTAGGACTTCTTTGCAGCACGAAATCAGGACGTTGCGATTGCTGCCGCTTGCTCCCTGCATGTGAACAGCGGCAGCGAGAGGCGCCGGCGCCCTGCTGG